CTCCCCCTCTCTCTCTATTCTCTCATCAATAGCTATTTTCCTTTTTTTTTTTGGGAAGCGGAAGGAGCCACGACCCCGATGGCTCCTTCTCGGTTTACAAGGAAGTGCAGAGGTGAAGTGAACTCGATCTTTGTTGCTGTCCATGTTTAGTATTATTATCATTCTATTCTATATTTATCAGTCTCTTATAAATCCTGTTTGCCATATAGTCAACAAAGGTGAAAAAAATGTTATCATCGTTAATTTTCTTGTTCTTCCTCTTCATAATGATAATGATAATAATGAAAACGTTGATTATGATAAACATTTATTATATTATTATTATCATTATTATTAATAATATATTATTGTCACTATATTTTCATCATTATCTTTATTATCATTATTTTAATTATCATTATTTTCATTATTATCAATGTTTTTATTATCATCATAATCTTTACATTATTACTTCTTTTATTTGTTTTATCGTTGTCATTATCACTATCGTTATTACAGTTACTATCATTATCATCTTTACTATAATAAAATATTAATAACAATGGTAATAGTGATAATAACGATAGAAAAATATTCTGCCAATGCATATAAGGAAAGAAGAACATAAATAACACCAAAAGAGAGAGAACTTGTGAACTTTTGATGACAAGATTCGAAACAGGATTAATTATTGCTTCATTCTCACCCAACGAAGCATGGCTGATTCGAATACAATTGAAGCACACCATCTGGTACGTTCTGAGGGAGAAAAAAGATGGAGTATAGTATTTTTTCTTTATTTTATTCTTTCCTTTTGATCTTTTTTATTATTTTTATTATTCTTTCCCTGCTATCGTGTCTATCCCTTTCTCTTTCATTCTCTAGTTTTCTCTTCTCTCTCTCTGTTTTTTATACTCGCTTTCTCTGTGTTTCCTTCGCTGTCTTTCTCCTCATTTTGTCTCGGTCTTTTTCTCTTTCTTTCTGTTTTTTCTTTCAGTCTTTTTCTCTTCTCATCTTTGCCTTTCTTTCACTCTCTACCTCTCCTAGTTGCACTTTTCTCTCTTTTTATGTCTCTTCCTCATCACTCTCTCTCTCTCTCTTCTCTCTCTCCTCTCTCCCTCTCTCTCCTCTCTCTCTCCTCCCCCTCCCTCCCTCTCTCTCTCTCTCTCTCTCTCTCTCTCTCTCTCTCTCTCTCTCTCTCTCTCTCTCTCTCTCTCTCTCTCTCTCTCTCTCTCTCTCTCTCTCTCTCTCTATCCTTCACGCTCCGTATCTCCATTCCTGCCGTTCCTTTCACCTCAGAAAATCCCATCACTCCGTCAAAAATTTCTAAAACCATACCTGTAATGGTTTCTAATGACACGCCACCCATATGTGTGAAGTATTATGACACTTCATGACTTCAACTTGCAATTCACTGTTGTCTTCGTGGTGTACTTTTTCAATACTGTCATCCTTTAGATTTTAGTGTGTGTGTTGCGTAACTGAGGATTATTATTATTTTTTTTTAACGTTTAGAAAGCCAAATGCTGAAACGGGGGACAGTCTGAACATTGGCGACTGGGGTTTGTTGTTGGGATATGTGGTTGAGTCGATGCATCTGAAAGTAAGGCTGTGATTTATTTTATGCATCTGTGCACCAACACCCACCTACACACACACACACACACGCACGCACACACACACACACACACACACACACACACACACACACACACACACACACACACACACACACACACACACACACACACACACACACATATATATATATTATATATATATATATATATATATATATATATATATATATATATATATGTATACTCATACATAAACTGTGTGTGGCATGTATGTATTGGTATGTGTATGTGTGTGTCTGAATAAATGCACATCTATGATACGTTTCCGAGGGCCCTTTTGTGACGTGAACAATAGAACAATGTATGGACTATATGGAACAGTCTGCATCGCGGTCATCGCAGAGGTTTCGAGAACATTTCGTCAGTACGTTTCTTTTCAGTCGACGTCAGCTTATCCAGTGTATCAGTCTTTGTATGCTTACTATTATCATCATTGTATTTTTCGTACCAAGTGTTATCAGGACTCCTTTGTGTACGATAAGTGGGTATGTGTGGATATATAGGTAAGCACGTGAGTTCCTTTTATGTATATAGATATGCACGAATAAGTGAATAAATAAATTGATAACTATACACGTAAGGATATACACATAGTTGTTTGTATGTGTATATGCAATAAGTACATATTTGCATATATATATATATATATATATATATATATATATATATATATATATATATATATATATATATATATATATATTATGTATATATATATATATATAATATATATATTTATTTATATATATATATATATATATATATATATATATATATATATATATATATATATATATATATATAATATATATATATATATATTATATATATATATATATATATATACAACCACACACACACACACGCACACATATATATATATATATATATATATATATATAATATATATATATATATAATATATATATATATATATATATATATATATATATATATATATATGTACATATGTATGTGTAGGTATGTATGTATATGTGTGTGTGTTTATTCCTATTATTCTTATAGTATAAGCTGTAATACATATACACAACTGTGTATGAGAGCATACCTGCATGATTTTTACTTGCTTTATCTTTCATCATTCTATAAATCAGAAATACTTTTATCTTGATATATTTCGCGTGCAGACATAGTTTTTTAGATATTTTGTAACTCTTTTTTTTTAGACTGATTTGAACGTGGAAAAGTCACTGTTGAAATTACATGAAATATCATCCATCATATTTTCATTCACCTGAAAATTGTATATTTCAGTTTTTTTTTTGTCTTTTAACAATCAGGTTCTGAAATGTGGTTTTCATTCTTTCATATAACTTTTTGTGTATGTCTGTCCAAATTCATCTATTATTAAGAAATGATTTTTTTCCCTCTGATTTCTTCGTGATGGTTAAATAATTACAATGCCTTCTTTTTCTTTTCATTAATAAGATCATAGTCATCTAGATCGGTGAATACTTAGTAAAGGAATCACAACGAGAAGAAATTATATATTTATTAGTTTAAAAAACATGTTTCTCTCTCAGTACTCTTTTACAATTCGTGGCATGGCTTAACCGTACGCTGGCTTGGGGCACTTGGTCACGTAGGACTGCTGGGTTTGGGTGACGGTGTGGTACTGGGGAACGACTTGGGTCTGGTACTGGGTCTGGTACTGGACTTCGGTCTTGGTGAGGTATTGCGGTACCACCTGGGTCTTGTACTGGGTTTGGTACTGGATTTGGGTCTTGTATTCCGTTTCGTAGGCGGTCTGGGTGACGTATCTGGGAATGTAAGCTGTGGTGGTGATGTACTGAGTCTGGTACTGGGTCTTGTACTGGACTTGGGTCTGGGTCTGGTACTGCACCTGCGTCTGGTAGACCGTCTGGGTGACGTACCTCGGCACGTACTCAGTTTCGTACTGTGTCTGGTACTGGGTTTGGTACTGGGTCTGGTAGTAAGTGGTTGGGACGACCTGGGTCTTGTAAACCGTCTTGTAGACTGGAACCTGCGAAGAAAAACGAGGAAATTAAGAAAAAAACAGTAGTTCCTTCAAGCGCAACACGAGAGAGCATCGCGTCTCAAAAGAAATTTTAAAAATATAATAATAATAAAGATAAAATTTAAAAAATAAAATAAATCTCGTCAAAACTGAGTTAAAAGTTCATTCTTAAAATAAAACTTCATTTTTTAAAAGGACCCTTTCAGAGTAAAAGAGAGACTGCAATTACACCCAATCGATCTCTGTAACTCTGTCAGAACACTTGCAACTTAAAAAGAAATGAAAAAATGTCTTGTGTGACAGATTGACTGACCTCCTGGACCTGTGTCTTATACTGGGTCACGTATTTGACCTCGGGGTAGCAGGGGAGGGGCGGGGTGGGGGCGTGGACGAGGGCGGGAGAAGATGGGATCTGCCAACGCCGCTGCCACCACAGCTGCCAACACTACCAACACGACGCGACCTGCCATCATCTGGTGGAGATAGACAAATAGAGACACAAAAGTTTGGAAGAAAGGTAGAGATTCATAGATATTTTGATAGAAGCAGAAAGATAGGCAGATAGATAGTTTGCAAGATAGAGACAGAAAGATAGGTAGACAGATAATTTGAGATTGATAGATAAATAGATAGAAGCAGAAAGATAGATAGACAGATAGTTTGAGATTGTTAAACAGAGGCGGAAAGATAGGTAGACAGATAGTCTGCTCGATAGATAGAGGCAGAAAGATAGGCAGCGAGATAGTTTGCTAAATAGATAGAGACAGATAAATAGGTAGATAGTTTGCTAGATAGATAGAGGCAGATAGATAGTTTGCTAGAGAGAGACAGAAAGATAGGTAGACAGATAGTTTGAGATGGATACATAGATAGAAGCAAAAAGATAGGTAGACAGTCAAAAATTGACCGATAGATAGATAGTGATGGAGAGAATAAACTAACAGAAAAACCGTTCGTATTAAACACCATTCTGAGCTTAACAAACAAACGCGAAAAAAATAATATAAAAATATATATAAAAAGTAAATATACAAGACTTAACAGAGGGAAGAGAAAGGAGATTAAATTCTCTGTCAATGATCAGTTTGCGAAAGATGAGAAGAAAAAAAAGAAAAGAAAAAAAAAATATGTGGGGATATGAGATCGCAAAGTCTCCATTAGATAAATCCATAAAGAAATTAATTAATGAATAAAGAAATCCATTAAATATCCGACAAATAAATAGATCCATAAACAAATCATTGCATTAAACCTATAAGAAGAAAACAAGAATATATTTCAACTATTTCTTTGCAGTTTATCTTAAACAGTGTACTTTAGAGCATGCATAAAACATCCAGAGAATTGATGGTTTGTCAGAAGGTTGTGTTAGCTTCTGTGATCTAAAAGTGACAAAAACAATCGATAAAAGAGTAAGAGTAAAGACAAATTGGTCTGAGTAACGACAGGAGAGAGTCAGAGATTAGAGTAAATTGGGCGAGACATCTTAGGAGCTTACGGAACATGCGTGAGGTTGTCGATCTGAATTAATGTTTACCGCATTTTGTGGTTGTGTGTGTTTACTTGTGTGTGTGTGTGTGAGTGTGTGTGTGTGAGGTGTGTGTGATTGTGTGTGAGGTGTGTGTGTGTGGTGTGTGGTGTGTGTGTGTGTGGTGTGTGTGTGTGTGGTGTGTGTGTTGAGTGTGTGGTGTGTGTGTGTGTGTGTGTGTTGTGTGTTGTGTGTGTTGTTGTGTGTGTGTGTGTGTGTGTGTGTGTGTGTGTGTGTGTTGGTGAAGTTGATGAATTTTTAAAGTTGTGTGAAAGGTAATTATAAGATGATAAAGGCATTCAAGTCACTGAACCAGATAAAGTGCTCAAAAAAAAAGCTAGCTTGAAGAAACATTTGATATAAAAATGTACATAATAATATATATATATATATATATATATATATATATATATATATATATAATATATATGTGTGTGTGTATGTGTATGTATATATTGTGTATATATATATATAATATATATATAATATATATATATATATATATATAATATATATATATAATGTATATAATATATATATATATAAATGTGTAAAGAGCGTGTCAGGTAAAAATCCTGAAGTACCTACATAATCCCAAAATCAATTTTCTTGTGTATCTTCCGTCACAAACCACATAAACCATCCCTATTTACCTTTGGTGTTTCTATCCCGTTGAGCCTTCGAGATCAACTGACGTGAGACTAGACCTCCTCTCTTATTTATAGCACTCGACTGCGGACATTCAGGCGTGTCTCAAGGGCAATTCTCTCATTTAGTCTACTATCGTCTCCTGGGGAATTTTCAGGCCCCTTCTATTATAGAGGAATACGTTGATTTACTGTCTGGTGTTGCTGGAATGGCGTACAGGGGGGGGGGGTATTACTGTGATCAGTATTAGAACATATGTTAAAGCTCTTTTTGACGTTTGTATTATTCCTTTTTTCTTCTTTTTTTCTTTCTTTCCTTGTTTTTACCTCCACACAGAAGAAAAGAAAGAATAAATTGCATTATCTAGATGTTCATATTTGGAAGTATTGTTTGAACACGGACATAACAGGAGACAGTGAACTATGAAGGAAGAACAAATTGAATTATTAAGACGATCAAATTTGGACGTATTTATTGGAACCGAGACTTCTCAGGAGACAATGAACTATGATGACTTTCACTTTCAAAATTCGAGTCCTGTTCCAATCATTGGGATATTTCCTTATCTGTTTCTGGTTCCTTAAATACGATGCTATAATTGATGCCGTCATTAACTTCCTTCGATTTTAATTACTGAATTTAATTAGCTCACGTGCCTCTTTTTGACATGTATTTATTACACAGATCCTCTGGTCAGTCTATGTTCATGTTTGAGTGTTAATAATACAGATAAAAGTCATTATCTTCATTAATATTACTGATGATGCTGATTGGTCAGTTTGTGTTCATGTTTGCGTGTTCATAATACAGGTAAACATTATTATCATTAATATTTCTAATTATTTTGATATAATGATCATAGATCATCAAAACCATTATTACTATCATGGTCATTTTAATCATCATTATTCATATTCTCAAATAATTCCAGTAACAAAGCCCCCTTTCTCATAAACATGAATCGCCAACATAGAAAACATTACACCTATTCAACACATAAACATCCATCAACATAACCCCCTCATCATAGTCGGTTTTTCCACCAATATTTCGCACATACACACACACATAGGCTTAAGACAGACCTATTCTTATTGCGTGTTATAAGACTCCCATAATGTGTCTTGCGCCACTAGACCATACCATTTCTTTCACCTTTTTTTTTCTTCTTTTTTTTAATGCTTCACGCGTGTCGAACCCGGGTGAGATTAGCTAAAGGAAGTGCTTAGTCATTGTGGCCAAAGTTAAGGGTGCCTTGTGCTTCTCTCGCCCTCCTTGCTACCCCCCCCCTCCCTCTTTCCCCCTCCCGCTTGTGGCGCGTGTGTGTGTATGCCGGTGGCCCTCTCTCTCTCCCTCTCTCTCTCTCTCTCTATCTATTTATCTTCCCCCCCCTCTCTCTCTCTCTCTTTATCTTTCTCTCTATCTATCTATCTATCTCTTCTCTCTCCCTCTCCCCCCCTCCCTCCATCCATCCATCCTCTCTCTCCTCTCTCTCTCTCTCTCTCTCTCTCTCTCTCTCTCTCTCTCTCTCTCTCTCTCTCTCTCTCTCTCTCCTCTCTCTCTCTCTCTCTCTCTCCCTCTCCCTTTCTCTCTCTTTCTCTCCCTCTCCCTTTCTCTCTCTTTCTCTCTCCTTCCCCCTCTTCCCTCCTTCCCTCCCTCCCTCTCTCTCTCTCTCTCACCCTTTCCCTCCCATTGTCTCCCTATGAAAAGTACCAGCCTGCCTTTGGTTCTACTTATTACTATTATAAAAAGAAAAAAATCGTGAAGGGAAGGGAGGGGGGAGGGGGGTAATAGCATGACTGCGTTGTAGCGTAATTTTTATTTGCCTTTCTCTTTATCTCCCTTTATCTCCCTCTTTCCCCTACTTTCCCTCACTGTTTTTGTTCTTACTAATCTTTTTCGGGTATTCTTGTGATCATCATCATTGTACTTTATGTTATTGTTACTAATATAGTGTACTATCTTCATTTTTGTTATTGTTATTGTCATTATTATCATTTTTAATTTGTTATTGTCATTATTATTATTATCATCATTTTTAATGTTATTGTCATTATTATCATTATTATCATTTTAATTTGTTATTGTAGCTGTTGTGTTTATTATTCTTGTTAATATTTTTTTTATTACCGTTATTATAATCATTATTCTTATTATTATCATTATTATCATTATCATTCTTACTATCATCATTATTACTATTATCATCATTGCTGTTGTTATTATTGTTATTATTCTTATCATTATTTTTTATCTTTATCATTATAATCAGGGTCATTATTATCATCATTATATATATAATTATTACTCTTACCATTATTATCATTATTACTGTTATTGTTTTATTGATGTAAATACTATTATCATCGTCATTATTACAACTGTTAGGTTATACATTGTTAATACTATTTTGATCATTGTTGTTTCTGTTATTATTATCCCCATTATGATTATTACAACCATTACTATTATCATTATCAAAATAATAGTTGATGTCAACATCATTGTTATCATCATTATTATTATTACTATCATCGTCATTTTAGTAGTAGTTGTTGTTGTTGTTGTAGTAAGAGAAGTACCATTACCATTATCATTAGTAGTATTGCTATTATCATTATCATCATTAGCACCATAATCATTGTGATTGTGCTTATCATCATCTTCATAATTATCATCTTCATTACTGGCATTATAATCTTTCCTAATAGTTTTACTAATGTTATCATCATTATGGATTATCCAAATTATCTTTATCATGTTTTTTCTTTCTTTCTTTTTTCTTTTTTTACTGTCATGTTTTCTACCTGTGCGTGTATAGTTTACTTAGCCTTTCACATCTCATCCATTAGATATCTCTCAGCACTGTCATTATTATCATTATGATCACCATTATTTTTATCATTATTGTTCATTGTTCATTGTTATTATTAGTCATTATCATTATCATTGTTACTATCATTATTATCATTATCATCATCATTATTATTATTGTCATTATTATTATTATTACTATTATTATGATTATTATTATTATTACTGTTATTATCATTATTATTATTATTACTATTATTATGATTATTGTTATTGTTATTACTGTTATTGTTATTATTATCATAATCATTATTATTATCGCTATTGTTGCTGTCATTGTTGTTATTATGATTATTATTATTAACATTATTATTATTGTTGTTAATATTATCATTACTATTATTATTATTATCATTATTATTGTTGTTGTTGTTGTTTTTATCATTATCATCATTATTATTATTATTATTATTATTATTATTATTATTATTATTATCATTATTATTATTATTATTATCATTATCAATATTATTAACATTATTATTATCATTGTTGCTTTTACTATCATTTTCGTTATCATTATAATTATCATCATTATAATCATTATCATCATTACTATTATCACTATTGTTCTTATTGTTATTAATATTGTTATCATTATTATTATCTTTATCATCACTATCATGACCATCAGTATTTTCATTACCATTATTATTATCAGTATTATTATCATCTTTATTTTTCTAATCATCATTATCACAAATGATTTATATCATTATCATAATTGCTATTGATATGCACATAACAAGACTATGAAGAAGAGAAAGGATGAATAGACAAGACGAACAGATAATGAAAAAGAAAATGAAAAAAGACGAATACTAACAATGATAATAAAAGAGGGATAAATAAGGAAAATGAGTGATAAACAAGGAAACAGGAAGAGCGAAAATCGTAACAACAAAGAACCATAAAAGTTTAAAGGTAAATGGTCTTTAGAAAGGAACCAGCACTTGATACAACGACCTTGTGCTTGGCAAACGACGACCTTGCTATTGGGCTTAGAAGGGAGAGGGGGGGGAGGGAGGGGGGAGGGAGGGGGAGGGGAAGTGGTAGGGGGAGGGAGAGGGGGAGGGGAAGGGGAAGTGGTAGGGGAAGGGGAAGGGAGAGGGGGAGGGGGAAGGGAAGTGGTAGAGGGGGAGGGAGAGGGGGAAGGGGAAGGGTAGAGGGGAGGAGGGAGAAGGAAGGGGAAGTGGTAGAGGGGGGTGAAATTGGGGTAGAGGGGGGGAGAAATTTAAATTGGGCGAAGGGGAGGTGGAAGGCGAAAAGTAGAAGGGTGGGGGGAGAGGGAGGAGGAGGGGGGGGGAGAAATTAGGGTAGGCCGCAGGAAGG